TGGCTCGCAACACAATGTCAGACACAACCTCGACCGCACAGTTGGCGTCAGCTCTGCCAATCGGATAACCCGAGAACCGCACGAGCAGTGGCGAATTCATGGCATTGAAGTCCCCTCGTGTCGGATCGTCGTCGAAGCGACTTATCACATGCTCCTTGATGCAGCCGATGTAGCAGTGGAATTTGTAGACGTAAATTGTGAGCGTCTGGTTGATGTAGGCGCCAACGATCATCACCTCGTGCTCGCTCTTCAGCTGCCTTTTCGAGCTTTCCAAGAAGCGCTCCCCTATGCGCAGCTTGTTGGGATCGAAGGCGATGTCGTCGCGCGCGGTGGCAATGATGGTGTCGAAGGATACCGCATCGCCCCCGGAAAACCGCAAAACCTCCTGCGAGTAACCCGCGCTGTACCCAAGCATAGTCTGCAGCTCGTGGGGCGACGTCAATGGGTCGGATACATGCCGGATCTCAAAGGTCGGCAGGTAAACCTGCGGCGGCTCTCCGAGCCAGTAAATACGCGCACAAGCGCGCGGTTCAAAGAGAGAAATACCTGAGAAAAGTGAGGATGAACAATGATAGATGCAAACACAGGCCACCAGAGGAGAGATGACGATAAATCATGCAAACGCAGGGAAAAAGCTATGGCATCGACTCAGCAGCCAGTTGTAGCAGCACTTAAATATGAATTTATTTAGTTTCTTAATGATAAATATTTATAATTGGTGCAAGAAGGCAACAGGTAATAAATCAACATGAACATCGTGTATGAATCAGGGCAACACAAATAGATGAACTGCATCAAGTAGAAAGGGCACTACCGTTGAAGGGGATGCTGCTTGCCATTCGGGCTCCACGGACCAGAGAGCGCAACTTCATGACCACGGTTTCTGTGTTCGAGTTTGATTCAGATGCGGCGGCGAAGCCGCAGTCCGTGCCTGCTTTGACGCGGTCCGGACCGACCATCTGTGCCAGTCTGCAGAGGCGCTGCGCCAGCAAGTTGGGGCTTTCCACGTGCGGCGAGCTGGTGTCGACACAGCCCAGCGTGATCACAGCGTTGTGAATTTGCGCAATCGCGTCAATCTCGTCCTTGTCGCGCGCGTTCGCAATTTCAATCAACAGCAGCTTGGAGCACTTAATCAGATTGAGGATATCAACGATCTTGTCCAGCGAGGTGCCCCGATGATGCGAAAAGCCGTAGTTGCCCCAGCACATGTGTACGCGCACCTGCGAAGGGGGCAATACCTCGATCGACAAGTTGAGAGCCTTGATGCGGCTTCTTTGCACGTGTCGGCAAACTGCAGCTGCAGCAGATTCGTCTTTTTTCGGATGCTCAAACGGCGCGCCGCCTGATACAGACATCTCCTCGGCGCAGTACTCGCGCGGTGGCTTTACATGCAAGAGCAGCTCCGCGCCCGGGTGGAAAAGATAGTAATGCGGGGTCGGCGAGTCACGGATCACGATCGCAAATTCTTGCTCTGAATCTGAGAGGGCAACTGCGCAATCGCTCTGGTGTAGTCGTGAATACTCGTTGATTGGCGCCACCGGGGTAAGTATTCCCTTGTTGTGTGGATTCGTGTGGGCTGGCAGATGCGTCGCCTCTCCCTTTGCGCTTTGATTAGCGTTGTGCAATGTCAGCGAAATCACGTCTACAGGAGTCGCGCACGCATTGCCGAGAGTGGAAGGGCTTTCGTCGAGAATCGCCAAAAACGTACCACCCCCAGCCCGGCCATACTGCTCGGCCTCGGCGCTGGTGATACTCCCCGGAGAGTCAGATCGAATGCTGGCGACGTCTTCTGTAGCTGAGCTTTCCCCACTTGCGCCTGAAGCTGGGCCTGAGGCTTCTTTGTCCTCATCGTCGGCGATGGAATCACCTGGAGCAAGTATCAAGGACAGAGATAAATCAGTTTAGGTCAGTTCTTCTCTGATGAGCGAAGCGTAGAGCTTCCCAGCGGATAATGAAACACGAGAAAAACTTACCACATACTATACAAAAACTGAGCGGGAAAATCGTGAAGCCCGTTTTCAATATCAATACCCCGCCGACCAGTTTGTTACTGATGCAAAGAAAGAACGAGACAGCTGAGCAGTCACTTGCGCCGACTTAATACACCCGCGCAGAGATGAGGGACACGCGACAATCCTTATCACTATCTGGTACGCTAGTAGCTTGCGACAACAAGAAAAGGAAAGCCGAAAAACAGAAAAAATACCTTCTAGCTGAAGCTCGTGCTTCCGCTCGAGCATCAGCTCCTGGAGGAGAGCGAATTGGGGCCCCTTCCCACCCTTATCAGGGTGGTGCCAAAAACCGGCGGCTCTCCAATTTTTCGCAAGCTCGTCGAGGGTCTGGGACTCCTCGATGAGCGCGACCGCCCTGCGGTACGTCAACGGCCGGCTCACCCCCATGTCTGTTTGGGTCAACCAGATGCAGCGGCAGAGCCAAACGCGCCGTTCGTATCTGAGCGCTGTTACTAACAGTGAAGCTACTCCTATTCGTACCCGTGCTTGGAGAATCAGGAGGGCAGAACGCCTGCGGCCAGTCCTTGATCAACTTCTCGTGCCCGTCCTCGACGAATATCGAAGGCCCTTGACTTGACCTTGACGTTCGCCTTGATTTCGATGCGGTGGCGCTCTCTCGTCTCTCGCGAACGCCGAAACGGCTTCCGAGATACCTATCGGGGTAATTATGCACGCCTAGAAGCTGCTCCCGTTCCCGGGCAGAGGCACTCTAAGGCGGCTGAGGTAGGTAGGGATACTGCGACAGCTGCGATAATTGGTGACTGCGATACTTGAGTTTCGAAAGCGTCGCGTATTGCGTGTACACGTGCGCAGGAGAATCCCACCGCTTTTCACCTAACAAGCCTTTTCCCCCTACGGGTTATGAAGGATAAGCTGCAGCGCCTTTTTCTGCTGCGTCCCTGGTCGAAGTCGTCGCAGTTTCACGAATAGACGAAGTAGAAGAAGCAATACTTGACACTGTTGCTGCGCTACTTCCTTTGCTTCTGCTTGGGCTTGAAGCGTACGAAGCACTGCTACTGACAGCGGAGGTAGTTTGGGGGGCGTCTGGAGGAGCTACGCCACCAGTATAAGAAGCCGAGCTGCGCACAGCTATGAGCTACCCTCTCGGCGGCGCTCTCCAGAACGAGATGACCCACTTGGACAGGAAGATGAAACCGATCAACAAGTAACAGGCCAGAGTTTGCAGTACTAGAAGAAGACCAAATGATATTATAGATGCTTATTATCAATTGAACTAGATACGAAGCTACTTGTGGGAAGTTAGAGCTTGGGAGTAGGCTTCAACAACAAGTGAATCGACACGGATAGTTTTTTAAAAAAGAAGATGTCTACCTAGTCTCCTAGTAAGCAAACAACTTCGTCTCCTCGATTAGTTTTTTAGAAGATGTCTACCGAGTTTCCTAGGAAGTAAACAACTTCGTCTCCTCGAATAGTACTATAAACAATAACAACCTTAGTACTTCTAGATAAACAACCTTAGAACCACCGCCGTGATGTAGAAGTTGTTTAAAGTTTTTAGTCTCCTCGAATAGTACTAAATCAACAGCCTTAGTACTAAATAAACAACCTTAGAACCTCCCGAGTTCTTGTTCGCTGTCTAAACAAGTTATAGTAAAAAACTATCGTCTACTCCTCGCGAATAGTTTTTGAAGGTAGTTGTAAACAAGTAACTATACGGCCACTTGCTTACGAAACTGTTGAGAGTTGCAAAGTCTAGAATTCAACGACCAAATAGACACGGGGTCTACAAAAAGTTGAAAGCGAAAGCAAGCTGCGTTTCGGGGTTCGGGTTTGAGTGATGAGGTCGACGTGGTGCAATCAATTTATGCAGCGAGCCCATTTCTGGACTATGAGAGTTGTCCAGCAACTGTTTGACTGAATGACGGACATTATTCTCTCCTCAGAAGCGCAGCGGCGTTGCTTTTCTCACAAACGCGACAGGCGTGGTTACTTTCTCACCGCCCTCAAAGTACAAAGATTTTCTCGCCGCCCTCTCCTCACTTGTACAGAGATTTTCTCACCACCCACATTGTCCAGAGAATCTTCTCGCCGCCCTCTCCTCACTTGCACAGAGATTGCCTCACCGCCCTCATTGTACAGAGATTTTCTCGCCGCTCTCTCTTCACTCGTACAGAGATTTTCTCACCACCCTCATAACACTACTTACAGACATGGCCTCACTCGCGCAGAGTTATAATATATTGTCATCTAATATGTACATGCATAGAGTCATCTGTTTCAAAAACAAAATGAGGAAGGAATTTAAGCGGCGCGCAGCGCTCGTGCTGTGTTGCTGGCACAAACCCCGTCCGGCTCAGTTCGTCGGCCCTCTATCAAGCACATTGGCGGTGTCCTCACGAAAGAGCCCTGATCCTCAAAAGAACTAGTAAATAAGAGTCAAGGTCCCACACGTACGTCCCCATCTTCGTGCCCGTCTAGCATCGTCGCCCATTCTTGGTTGACAAGGAACAACAAGCTGCCGTTAAAACGGCCTGCAAAGATGCATCAGCAAGTTGACAAGCCACATGGTATCGATGTCAATTCCAATCTGGGAAGGTCGACCACGACCTGCAGCAAAGCTGAAGTTGCTTAAAGTCAAGAGGTTCTGGAAACCCACATTCATATCTTATCATATCTTGATCAGGCCCACATCAAAATGCGCTCACAGGCTGGCACTTTTACTTGCATCTCGTGCTCTAGCGTCGTTCAAGCCTCAAGACGACACTCTGCAATCCGAAATCTAGAAGATCCATCGCGACCCTGTATCTTCACAACCGCGCGGTTAGCGGTCTCGTGACGCCGAATCGTTCTTGACCTTGACTTATCCGCACCAATATGCCTTCAGGCTCCCTTCAGGGTCGCGCCCGAACAACCAATGAAAGGACTGTCTGCAGCAGAAGAGTATGAAGAGCAGCTGTCCACTGCAAATCAGTGTAAACAACGGCGCCGGACGAAGCTCAGCTACATCAACAAATTTTTATTTTCAACATGCCACCAAAAACCATTACAGAGGAGTAGAAGCGAGCCACGATGGTCCCGGAGAGGCTCAGCTGACCTGCGAGAGGCTTCCAACTTTCGACCTGATGTCCACCATTTCGACTATCAGCATGCTCACGCCAAAAAGATGACTCACATCGAAAGTAGTTGTCGTACACCTACCTTCATGATCAATAAGAGTATCACTTAGTGTTGTCTATAATCAATTAAGTACCCCAAGAACCTAGTAAGGAACGTCGACAAGTACCAAAATATTAAGATCGATTAAAAAAGATTTCAAGAAGTTTCTTACACAGCTACTTATCAAATATCATATCACATTCACGACCATCCTTTTCTTGTATTCAACCTGAGAGCAGAAGTACTCATGAAGACTTGCGCGAACAGTGAACAAGCAAGTATCAGGAGTTGGAAAAATGAATAAGTAAGTATCCAACATGACACAAGCAATATCAAAAGCCTGAAAACGCGGGTGTCCCATGGTACGCGATGATCTCAAAATCAATGGCATGCTTTATGAAAAGCTCAACACGCGAGAAGTCGTCGAGACAAAGCGCTTTCTTGACTAGAAGTTGAGTCCGATCCTTACTTGGGTGAATGACCACCTGTCCTCCCAGATGACGTCCTCTTGTAAATTTGAATGATCAGGTTTGAGTTTGCAGGATCGGGATATGCCACAAAGGAGGATAGTCACAAGGCGGTCCGGACCAGCAACTCCCTTTCCAAAAACAAAATAGCTATGGAGCTATTTCGTAAACAAGAATGATAATAAGAAACTGACCTGAAAATGAATGGCGATTAACAATCGAAAGGATTTAATTATTCATTTTTTCACTTCATTTCTTTGTGTACTTACTTTCTGTCTATTTCTTCCCGACTGATTCTGATTGATTGACTGTCACCTGCTGCACACTCTTCTAGTCATCCTGAGACTAGAAGTCGAGATGATCACTTGCTCGAACAATAAATAAGTTATTGTATCAATCTACGTTGACGCATGCCTAGGAGCAAGCGACTATGATGTACTCACAACTCATCATCAACTGCTTGTTGCAGCAAGTCTTTTCCTGTTGCGATCAATAGTTAGAGGGAAGACTACTCCCTACTAGCAAGACCAGTTGGCTATCATCAAAAAAATGAATAAATCATGTACTTATGTAGAAAATAAATCCAGTGTTGTATTTTACAATCGCCGCGCCACCAGTCTTATTGTTATTTTAGTTTGAGGTCAATTTATTAAAGTACGTACCTACTCGCTGCGTAAGTAATTACACTTAGTAACAGCCATAGGGATGTGTCAACATCTAGATATGAATAATAGACGCTATCAGAGATGTCGCTACCTCTAGATATTCTTACTATCAGATCTAGGGAGGCTAGCCACCATCTTGATGTGCGTGATCAGGAGCCTCGATAACGGTGGCTAAGGTGGAGTGGCTCTAAGTTGGGTATCTGTTTTGTCAAGTGAGTATAATCTATCACTATGAATAGGGACAGCTTTGTTATGAGGAAGATATTTTGAGAGACTGTTGCTCGAGATCTAAAAACAATTGGAGATCATCATGATGATGGTTTAATTCATGGATGTACTACGAGCTGGATAAAACTGAAAAAAGAAATCTATTTTTGCGACCATGGAGCAATAATGAATCGCTATCAGTGCTCGCTAAGTCTAGATCAGCAAAGCGGTAGATAATTAGGGTTGTTTGGGCCTAGGGGTTAGGGAGGCACCGACATCCCTCTTCATCGCTTAAAGTTTGCTTTTGACGTCCCTCTTTCTTGAGGCACCGACATCCCCATTCTTGAAGTTTTCCTTTGACACAGACCGGACTTTTCATCATCAGCTAAAAACATCCAAAACATCTTCGGCAATAAGGTATATCAACATAAGTTTCTGATAATTGCAAGCAATTCAAATTGCGTTTTTGTATCGTGATCTAGTGGCAGTGCCACAATGAGTCTCTTTCATGTGCGTGCCAAACCCCAAAAAAAGCTCTGCTACAGCTCCAGTCTCCCTACTCTGATTGCCTGTCGCCCTGATGTATTATAATAAGTAAAGTAATAACTTAAACGTGTAGTATAATTAATAGTATAAGTCTTTCTTAGCGAACTACGAGTCTAATAAATAATAACAATATTTATATTTGTATCCGTAATCTGTATTATTTATATAGGGATAGGTATAGCAATATAGGTCGCAACAATATAGAGAAAGGAAGAAAATAAGCCGAAAAAGTACCAGCCCGCGCAGCGAAGCCGCAAACGTGCGGGTTGTGCGTTTGATCGCTAAGCGGATCGCAGCCAGCTCGGCAGCCCGCTCATCATCCCCGTCCGCAGCCGCATCGGGGGCTGCTGCAACCGCCTCCCGGGCCACGTCAAGCGCCTCCCGCGCTTTCCCCTCGTCGATTGCCGCGGTGACCTTCCGGGCCGCCTCCTCCGCGGCCGCCTTCATCTTGGCAGCGCCTTGGCCCACTGGTTCAAGGAGAGAGAGGACGGGGACCGTCATTGTGTTGATCTTATGATAGGGCAAAAAAAACCGGAGCTAGATTCTAAAGCGTGGCGAATGGTGAAGATCGAGGAGGCTACTACGAGACGAAGGTGAAAGAACGAGTACAAAAGAGGTAAGCGGACGACGATCGACGACACGACCCGACAAAGATACGCTCATCGAGGACTTGTGCTGCCATAATTTCAATTGTGTTCTACTTTGTGCTAGAAGCAAGTAGCGGGTTTCTATTATATAATATATGACTGGTCGAAGCTCAGCGCCAGAGCACGAACGCGGTATAGTTAGATTATCTTAGATCAAATCCATGGAGGTCGGAGAGGTGACTATTCTTTATACTATCATGCGGCAATATAGATATCTCCGTAGTCCAAGTGAATATGTATTTACACAGAACATAATGCTGAAGCACAAGAAACACGGACAAACCACATGAGACGAAGACCGTACCAAGTCTACTATGAAAATGTTTGCCCCCGACAAACTAGAAAGTCAGCAAATGTGTAGCAATGTGAATAGAAGCTTCGATCTCTGAAAGTTGTTTCTAGATGTCGAAGGCGAAGCACGCCAATCCGGCATAAGGAGTATGCGTCTTCATCGCCAGCAACAGGCAGCCCAAGATAAACATAAGTCGCGACTCATCTTCTTGAAGAGCAGGCAGCTACGAGAAGCTCGATCAAACCAGAAATATCTGCATCACAAAATGGTAGCGCACCATAACGGATAATTTTTATATGACCATGACGGAAGCTACCACTACGTTACTGAGATCTGTAATTTAGACAACTGAGTAGACTGACATGATGAAGGAAAACCCTACCGAGTCAAAGAACTGAGACTCGGTCTGAGACTAAGTAAGACGAGATTATATATAGTAATCAAAAGAGGCGCCCCAGATGTAATAGTAGTATAGATCTTTCTTTGCTGCATCTGCGAACGTCTGCACCTCAGCTTCAGGAGGTTTAGATTAGCTTGAGCGCTGACTATGGTGATGTATTGTGGAGGTGAAAAATTGTTTAGCGAGCTAGTACCTGAGTTTTAATGACGGGGTATGAAGGAGGGGAAAGGTTTAAGCAAATTAACACTAAGCTAAAGTTTATTTATTTATAAGTGCACTTAGTTAGACCACATTTCAGCCACCGGAGGTCTCATCAGAAGCAAGGAAGAAGTTGATGAGTGCTCGCACGAAAAGAGGTAAGGCTAGCGCCCATGGCTCCGGTGTGCATGCTCACCCATGGGTGTATTCTCTGATCGTTATGTGGGATTAACTAAAACTTAAGGTGAAGAACATCCAGCGGCCGTCGTCGGGGAAAAGCGCAATCGGAGGACCAAGCAGTCGACTAAGAGATTGAGGAGTCATAGTATCTGCTTCTTGTTTTTGGAAAGATGATTGAGTGCAAGTGAATACTGTTGTTGTCGTAATAGCGAGAGGGAGTGATTAGGGTAGGAGGGGAAAGGAGGAAGAGAGAATGGAGGTAATTGTTCAGGATTATAAGGCATTGTATTCAAATCTATAACTTAAAAAACTCTCACCTGTACTGGAAAATTCTCATGTATACACTCAACAGATAAATTCAGGACAGGCTAATTAGGCCACGTAGAGCACAAAACTCGTAGTCACACCTCACGCTCTCGGGGTCCACGGCACTCAACAGAAGATAACTCAGACAGAGGAAAGTAATCTACTCACAACTCAGACTGATCACGTGACAGAAGATCACCAATGACGTAAACAATTATCATCTCTCGTGTTCATACGGATCGCACCTCATTCTCTCCAAACAGTAAGAGATTATAAATATAAATATCATTACTTGTTGTATACTTACTCTGTTTGAGTACTGACACTGAGAATGACAGATTATAATTGCACCATATTTGTTTCTCTGTCTTCAGGAGTGAATCCTTATTAAACTTTTTAGCCTTAACAAACACTTCCGGCAACATCACCAGCATCAGGTAATATTCCACTTTCACTAGCAGGCAGCTGCACGTCCTCAAGGGTGATGTCCGCAAAGGCAGGAAGATGATCAGGCTTTTTTTTTACCATGGAAATAAAGCCAAGAGAAACTACGCACCAAGCTTGATATACATCATGCCAAAGGTATAGACGTATCCACCAGCCGCGTCATGACCTCCACTTACACGGACACTTACTTGAGGAAGTTTGTTGAATGAAAAGCGATCAGAGATTACAGTTAAGCGATTACAATTAAGCAAAAACGATCATGTTCGATGTGCATAGAAGAAACAACAAAAGCTAGAATGAGCTGGGAGCTCGATGTAGCAACGAACAGCGATGACAAAAATATTAAACCAAAGCTTTGGAATCAATACAAGACATTTTAGAGGGTTGCTTTTTAGGGGCTACAACAAGGGCAAACGCAAATAAATAACATTAACATTTACTCAAAATCCAGATTAACAGGCTGAGACATCAACTTTATTAGATACATACTAACTCAACAGTTCCCCCCTGGTCAATCCCGAACAAAGGACATTTGTTCAAAATCCAGATTGACGGGCACGACAACTTTATTTAGATATATCCTGGAGTTTGCCATATCGGTCACCAGTAGCGCAAGGTATCCAAAAATCCATTGTGCTCCTTGTCTGAAAGCTGCTATAGCTTAATATATTTTTTTCAGTGCCACTGAGTGGAAGGTCCCTAGTTATAATTTTCTATTCAGGCGCAGTTCACTAGGTTGACATAATGATTAGACCTGTCAAAAATTCACGAAAAGTAATAGAGCCCTATGAAATAGCAATCAATTTAGGAGATAAAGTACTTAGTTTAGCATTAGCTAACAAGAAGAACTAATAAGAGTTTCTTTGAACAACAATGTTGATCATTATATCGTACTTCTGGCGTAGAGCAGGCGAAGAAAGCAAAAAATGTAGTACAACTACCACAGCGCCGTCGCACAAAGGTCGGCTCATCTGGTACAAAATCTTGGACGCTACATAACATTCCACACAGTCTGATCACAAGTCCCTCTCACTTGTTGGCACAATGGACAAGCTGCCATCTTCATCTCCAGTAACAGCAATAAGCATCCCAAGATATGTCATGAAAACGGCTCCTCACGGACGTAATCTTAGAATCCTATCCAAATTAGACAACCGCTGAACCCTTCTACTAGAAGCGGCAGCTAATCTCTTACAGTATAAAGTTTTTCCCTCGTTTTGATTTTGATTTCATATTTTGAATTTTGATTTTGAATTTTGAATTTTGATTTTGAATTTTGATTTTGAATTTTGATTTTGAATTTTGATTTTGAATTTTGAATTTTGAATTTTGATTTTGAATTTTGATTTTGAATTTTGATTTTGAGTTTTGATTTTGAATTTTGATTTTGAATTTTGAATTTTGAATTTTGAATTTTGATTTTGATTTTGAATTTTGAATTTTGATTTTGAATTTTGATTTTGAATTTTG